GCGTTATCTATGAGAGCATATAACAAAAGAAGTTGACCTAGTCTTGGAGGTTTGGGAGGCGGGGGGGGGGGGGGGGCACTTAGAAAGGTGTCCCTGTTCCCAGGAGAAATATATTTTAGGTTGTGCTCTGGAGGTTTAATATAAGTAAATTGGTGATGTGAGTGTCAGGAGAGGTAGGAAATGCAAGGAAGTACTCAAAACAGCGGAGAGAGCATGATGTGTTCAAGGAACTGAAAGTAGACAGTGTAGCTGAAGCATTCATGTGGGGGGTGAGGGGAAAGGGCAAACTATGCTACTGAAGAGGTAGATAGGGGCCAGATCACGCTGCCTTTCATAAAACATGATAAAGGTCTTGGCATTTGTTCTAAAACCAATTAAGAATTGGGAGAATGGATTTGAGAGTGCACATGTGTAAATGGGGCAATTAGTTAGAAGGCTGTTTCAGTGCTCTGAAAAAAGATGATGGAAAGCTAAACTGGTATGAAGAGAGTAGAAATGGAGTGAAAATGTTTAGAAAGTAAAGCTGACAAGTTAGTGATGAATTTGGTTTGGGAGCATAAGGGATAGAAAGATGTTCAAGGATGTCTCACAGTTTCTGGCTTGATCCAATCAATTAAATGACAGTGTCTTTATCAGTGATGCTAAGAAACTTGCAACACATTGATAACATGTTCTCATATAATCTAAACCCTAAGAAGTCAATGAGAATATTCAGTGGAATGTAATTAATTATATATAGATGTTAATTGATATTTACTTTTAATAAGCATATCACAATTATGATTTGATTTTCATATTAGTGTATTAGTATCTCTAAAAATATAAATAAAGATAGTTTTGAAGAAGCTAAATAAACAAACCTACCTATATATACAAAGCGGAAATAATTCACAAAGCCATGTTAGCAAGCTCATATATGCAATGTATTACTTGTCTGGGCCATATGGTAAATTTTGGTAGGGGAAAATAATTTTTAAATAAGAGTGAAATTAGATAGAATAGGGAAATATTTGTTTCACACATGTAAAATTTCCCTAGCCATTAAAATATCTGTATTTTATTTAAAAGATATGGGATATTTTTTTTTTATCCTGACCCGAGGACATATTCATTGATTTTTTTTTTATTTGAGAGAGAGAGGAGTTAGGGAGAGACAGACAGACAGAGAGACAGAGGAAAATATTGATATGAGAATGAAATATCAATAGGTTGCCTCTTGTACACACACCAGCTGGATATCGAAACCACAACCTAAGCATGTAGCCTGACCAGGAACTAAACCTATGAACTTTCGGTGTACTGGGGAATGCACCAACCAACTGAGCCACATCATCCAGGCTGGGCTTTTTTTTTTTTTTTTTTTAGTTAGAGCAATATGTACTAAAGTTAAGACTAATAAATATTTTTAAAGAGTGAAATAAAAACAATATTGTTTATGTCATACTCTTTTATCACTATACGATGTGCTGATTTACTTGCTGCAGTTACTTAACTCATACCCATATTTTATATTTAAGGTGATACAAATGTTTTGAAAAGTATAATTTAAAAGTACAAGCATATTTTTAAAGGCATATGGTTAAAAACAATCAAAAAACATACACATACAACTATTTTCCTATTATCTAGTATGGATGGACATGTAACTCTACTTTGTAATTATTTGACTAATTATGTTTTCAAAATAAAGTAATTTTCACTTATTTTGAAAAGTTGAAATATCTTAGAATGTGTGCCTTCAAAATTATATTGTCAGCCTTGTTGGATTTTGGTGCAAGTTACTCAGAGTGAAAAATATGTACAGTATATAGTTTTCAAGTTATTAGTTGGCTCAATTAGATTATTAATTCCAATAAAATTGTCTTTAGGTACTTAGTTAATGCCATGTTTTAGAGTTCAATTGATTATTATAGAGGACCACTTAAATTTTTAGAATATTGATAAAAGTAAACAAAGTAAAATTATCTTATTAAGTTTCAGATTTTTCTATGCTTTAAATGTGTGTTTATATTCATTTTCTAAAAAGCATACCAGAATGGGTACTTTTCTTCTAGAGGTGCAATTATTTTATCATTTTTAGTTCATAGTTGTCATTGAATTAATATCAAATATGTTAATAAATATGTATTACGTGCAAAACACTGTTAGTTCTTATAGGTGGTATAAATGGCATATATGCTGCACAGGATACATTATGATATTATGATATTTGTATTATTATTTGTATGATAATACAAATTCTGTACACCTTTTGTGAGCTTTGATTATGTACCATTTACTTTAACCAAACAAAGAGTTGAACAATAATAAAATAAAATATATTTACTTTTTATTAAATCCAAGAATTAAAATATTTGTGAAGAAAGAAATTAACTAAAATGCACTGCAAAGTTAAATAAGGAAAAAGTCTATCAATGTAGGCAATATTTGACTTTCATTAGAATCTATGTCTTAAACTTATTTAGTAACCTAGAACAAAGAACTCTGATATACTCAGGTATATATCAGAAAACTCATAATGAAACACAATCCTGTTAAGAAAAGCTGTATTTATTTGTAGTAACACAAAGCCACATAAAAAAAAGATAGAAAAATAACATTTTGTTAATATAGGTGTTAAGGGACTGACAAGTATAAATCCTGCCATAACATTGTAGAGGCGATGTATGTACACCATTTCTTCATTACAACCGCCCTCTCTGTGAAGAAGCTTTACATAGGATTTTACAGGTGGGAAAAATTAATGTTTACCTTTAATACTTACTGATATTACAAACCTTATCCAGCTCAGGAGGAGCACAGCTGTCTAAGTGATCATTTTCACAGGAGACTTTGAATGCATTACCTAAGTTATTACTTTATGGGGATATCACTCACACATACCGTATATGTATATGTATATGTATATGTATATGTATATGTATATGTATATGTATATGTATATCATAGTAGCATAGGTAACATTATAACAGCTTAAGGGAAGATATTACTAAGTTTGAGTGATAGCTAAAAACCAATCAGGTCAACTGACTTTTATTTTTTAAGATCAATTGAGTCTTACATAGTTTAAAATAGCCACAGAAATCACCAGGGACCCACATTTTAAACACTTGAAGAATTTCAGGTGTAGATGTATAACCATTATAATAAAGTTCTTGGTACAGTGAAAACGAACACATTCAATGCCATTATTCTCCATAAATAACCAGTTTCTAATTAAGTATACACTGTGCGTAAATTTTTCACGTTACTAAAATTCCCTGGAGATGCCAGCCTTGTGGAGAAGTGAAAAAAGAACAACCTTACAAACTTACATGATGAGATTTGGGGCATATTTTTTCTTTCAACCCATTGGGGAATTCAGCATTAATATGTGTCTCTATCTCTGGATGAGATAGGCTTGTTAGGTATTTCCCCCCTTGGGATTAATTTGTATATCAAATATTCTTCAATTAGCAGGTGGATAAGAGCAAGGTGTCAACAGGCCTGTGTATAAAGAGGAGTGCACGGGCCTGGGAGAAGAGCAAGGAACAATCATGAAGATAATATGGTAAAGATACATGGTGCTGAAAGGAAGATACTAAAGATGAAATTGCTTTTCATATTCTACTAAAGCTGACCTTGGTTTTTACTACCAGGCAGGGATTACTATGCCATTGATATACGTGGGATGGCCTTGTATGAACACTGTTTGAAGCCTGAGTGTGAACTTACCTTCATGTCCATGTTAACTTGTTTCACAGAAAACATCTTCAGGCAAACTCAGATCTTCACAGACTTATAATGAGTGGCTTCCTGTGCATGCTCAGAACAGCTACTGGGGTTCTTTAAAATTGTACATTTTACACTTTCTGAATTTCATTTTTCCCCCATGAAAAGGTGCCTATAGCATCATGAACTTTTTCAATACATATTAAGCAAAAGAGGTGTAACCTTTGTCATCATTTTAAATGGTGAATCAATAAACAATATAGCAGGACAATTTGATGTTGGCCATCCTAACATTATAATGGCTACATTATAATACAGCCAATTTGATGCAACTGTCTTGATGTAAAATCACTTTTTTCTTTTTTGATCATTAATAATGTGTACAACAGACATTCCCAAGTCTATTCCATCCCTAACCTCTCTCCAATTTTGATAGACTTCCACATTCCCCTCTATTTTTGTATTATGTAATATTTTATATAATGATATATATTAATTTTATATTAAAAGAACCTGTTAAAATTTTACTGTCAAAATATATTAACCTCTATGATCTTATCAGTTCTTTTTTCAGCTCTATCATTTAAAAAACATTCTGTAATATTAAATATATGCATATGACTCTAAGAACAATCAAGGATTTAATTAAATATTCCCTGTGCCCTCTGAGATTCCATTTTGACACACATTGCCTAACTTGTAATATTGTGCTCAGAAAGCCTACAGAATTCAAAGTTGTCAATTCTCTGCATCAGTGTTGTTCAGCATTTATAACTTGATAACTTCTTTTTGAAAAACAGTGTTATAAGTCTTCCCTCCTACTTCTTCTGAGTTTTTTTAGGACTATTTATGAGGACTAGTTTTAAGAGCTTTACTTTCTAAAATTTATAATAGAAAAACAATAGCTGGATTTCCTATGCCCTAATCTTAGATATGAATTTGTTTCTTAAGGAGAAAACTGAACATTCATATTTTGTTTTCATTAACTTAATTGTTCTTATTTATGCTATCTCATTTTATATTTATTTCATATAAAGTCAGAATAGTGGCTAACTGCTTTGGCAAGAGTGTCTGTTTAACACATTATATAGTAATAAATGATCCTGAGATTTTTTAGGTTGCATTAAATAATATCCTTCAAATATTGTAAATCACTAATGGTAATGTTTTACTGGTTCAAAAGTAGGTCTACATCAGCAAAATAATAGGAATACTTTAAATATAATGGTTGATATTATTGCAAAATAAGAGTCCTTTCTAGGTATGTGTATGTGTATGGATATACTTACAATTATTTTTGAAGGATGGTGAAGGTTGGCCTATGGATGCTCGTGGATATTGATTAGTTGATAACCCTAAAAGCAAACATTTAAAAAAATACAATAAGAACTCTATCAATAAGGTGCTATTTAGGATAACAATTTACACTATTTACATATAAAGCATAACTGAAAAGTAATGAGGCTGATATCCATAAGTACCTGAACAAAGACAGTCTCATTTATATGTCAGTGTCAACCCTTCAGTTAAAGTGGAAATGAAATATCAGTTAAGTATTATAAAAGAATCAGCAAAATTCTAAATCTGATATTAAGAGAAAACATTATTTTGCACAAAATAATTACAGACCAGAAGTACTTAAATGGTATTTACCAATAGGTATTAAAACAATATTAGAAGCTAGAAGGGGAAATGTCATCTGAATCACCATTTCAGTACCAATTATTTTTAAAGTGTCTATTGACATTATACATTTGGGAATGTGAAAACAAAACATATTAGCCAGCAACATTTATGTAGTAGGAAAAATAAATTAGGTGTAACCACATTAATATTTAACATGTTTTCATCATAAAATGTTTCCCAAAGCACATAAAATATAACCAAAAAGTTTTAAATACAAAGATTTTCTTAAAATATAAAGCTGTGGGAACCCACGTAGAGCCCCAGAGTTGCTATAAAGATTATTTTAAGTTGAAGATATTTTGAAATTCAACAGATGCCATGTGAGGGGGGACAGGGCTAGGGGTAGCCAGAGCTTCCCTTATCTGACTAAGAGCAGCAACTTCTGGAAAATGAGGCTACCATAAATCCCTTCTCCAGGGGAATTTTATAGCTCTGAAGGAGACAGAAAACTCTTAGCTGTACAGACAAACCTTACCTCCTATTTGTTCTTTTAAAAACTCATTTGTCTTTCCTAAAGAAATCTATTTTTTTTATGGAAAACTTTTCTCACTCCCCACCCTCTTACCACTAAGGTAGGTATGTATGTAAGCCTTTAATTTGAACAATTAAACAAGCCAGTTCCTTTCTTTTTTGACTTCCATATACATATGAAACAAACCTTTATCACCCATTAATCTCTTTTGTCAGTTTAATTTGCCCAGCACAGTTACAGAACCCAAGAGGGTAGAGAAAAAAACTTTTCCTCCCCTAAAAAGTCAATTCTTCCATTTATCCAGGTGAGTAAAATGAAGCGATTAGCAACCATTAGAGTTATGGGAAATACATAGGAAATGTCAATTATCAAATTATTTGAAGACATTGAAATATTTTATTATCTCACAGTTATGTTACCATAATTGAAGTACAATGGAAAACACAAGTAATAAATTCTAAAACTACATTTAAAATTTTTAATGCAACTACTCCTTTAATCAGCCAACAATGGATTATCCATACAATGAATTATAACAACAAATCTTTGTGTTTTTCATTCCTTATGACAGTAAATAAAAATAACTTCTTACTTCAAATTAGTGAAAACCCACTTGGGTAAAAGTCTTTCAACTTTAATCTAAATTTCAGAAAATACATTTAATATTATAAATTTGAACTATCATTTTTATTTCTCTTACAGCTCCAAATAATACAAAGATTTATTGAAATAAATATGTGAGAACATATTATCACATTATTCCTCTATTTTAATGAAATGGTAGGGGACCTATAACAAATAAAAATAATTTCTTCATGAAAAAGACATACACCTGGTTCCACCTAGCATGTTTAAAGAAGCAGAGGTATAAAATAGCAATCATTGAGCAATGATGAAACTTCATGCTCAATGAAGAAGCTGGTGGCCAAGTTATTAGTCTGTACATTAAAAATTATATGTAGAATTATAATAAAGCATGAAATCATTTCAATACACAATAGTGATCCATTCTACTTGCTGTAGCTCCCACTTAATTTTACCTAATTGTACAAGTACCCTTCCAGGGAATAAAACTTGTCAGAGAACAGCTGCCGGTGCAATTACTTCCCCCTAATGGTTATCTGTGAAATTGCAGACAGAACAAATGTGAGCTGTGATGGATACACCATTTATTCATGAAGGATTTATTTATTGTACACACCCCCACCTCTTGGGGGAAGGATTGAGATATCTTATAATGAAGCATTTCTGCTCTTTCATTAAAAAGCAAACCATCTGATAGTTTAAACTTTTTCTTTAAGACATCAACTGAAAATATATTTTCTAATGTTTCTAAAATTTTACTGTACATTTCTAAAATTTTAATTAATTTTGAAAAAGTCAGGAATACCTAAGTGGAATTACCGTATTTTTCAGACCATAAGACGCACTTTTCCCCCCCCAGAAGTGGGGGGAAAAAGTCCCTGCGTCTTATGGTCCAAATATAGCCTACACATATACTTTAAAAAAAAAGTTTTTTTACTTGCCCGGCTCTGTGTGGTCTCTGTGTGCTTACCAGGCTCTAAAATGGTTCTAAATGCTGCTGTTTACTTTACAGGGTTGATTACATGTGTTTATGACTGTGATGTTGGGTTTTAATGCACATAAAATATTTTAGGACACTATTTGTTTCAGAATCTTTTTTTCTTCATTTCCCTTCTCTAAAAACTGGTGCTTCTTATGGTCCGGTGCGTCTTATGGTCCGAAAAATACAGTATATATATTTTTTCTTAATTTATGTCTCTTTCTTTAACCCCAATTGTTTCGCCCTTCCCCTAAGACCATGAAAGTTTTTACATTAATATTTTGCCTCTATCATATGCTCTCCTTTTCTAGTCTTTTTTTCCTCAGCTATTTATACATAAACCTGAGATATATTTTATTATCAACTTTCTGTCATTTCAAGTATTTATCCATCTTACCAAACTGTTATTTTTTAAGTTCCCACATGATTTCGATAGATTTTTTTTTTCCTTTGCAGCTCAGTGACTCTAGATAAAAAAGAGAAATACTCCTGACCACAACCTGGCTCTATATATTAATCCAAACATTATATAATTCCTTCTTACAAAAGTAGTGCATAGAATATTTTTCAATGTTACATGTACTATTACCTCTGATGGTACTTATAATTGATTTATAAAGTAACATTAAGGGTAATTTTGTTATTGTTCAAGACAAATTTTATTCTACTTTTCTTACAAAAGTTACTTATTTTGCTATTAGCCTTAATATACAATATAAAATAGTACTTTCAATTCTAAATTCTGCTTTATAAGTCATTAAGAACCCTGTGAAAATGTAATTGGTTAAGTTTCTTGCTTTATTTTTCATCAGTTGAAACACTAGAAAAAGGGCAGGCATTTAAGTGGAATGTCTATCACAGAAATGCCTATCTTACTGTGGCTAAAAGTCATCAGTTAAATGGCAATACTAAATTCTGAGGAGAAGGAATAAATGCCAGCATTACAAAAGAACTAATGTACTTCTTTGGAATTACATGGATATTCAATATTTAAAAAGAAGAGAGTAATCTTTCATTCAGGATTAAAACATCACCACATTCTGCCCAGCCGGTGTTGCTCCATGGTTGAGCATCGACCTATGAACCAGGTCACAATTTGATTCCTGGTCAGGGCACATGCCCAAGTTGTGGGCTCAACCCCCAGTAGGGGGGGAGCAGGAGGCAGCCAATTAATGATTCTCTCTCATCATTGATGTTTCTATCTCTCTCTCCCTCTCACTTCCTCTCTGAAATCAATAAAAATAAATATTTTTTAAATCACCACTTCAAATCCAACTACTTTGATTTTTAAAAATTGTGTATTAATAAAGTATCATTTTATTATAATAAAATGTACATGGTTTAAATACAGAGTTTGATCAGTTTTGATAAAGGTATGTACACCTGTGTAAATGCCCCACCAATGAATATATAGAATCTTTTCATCTTCCTGCTCCCCTCCCAAATTCAGGCAACCACCTTCTATTGCTGTAGATTATTTTTGCCAGATCGAGAAGTTCATATAAACGGAACCACACTGTGTGTTTTTTTTGTCTATTTGTTCTATCCTTTGTTTAAAACATTGTTCTCTCTTTCACTGAGTATTTTTATTTTATTTAAAAAAAATATTTATTGCTGAAAGTAATGCATATGTATCCTTATTTCCCCCATTGATCTCTTCTAGCCCTCCCCCACCCCCACTTCCGCCCCAGGCCTTCACCACACTATTGTCTGTGTCCACAGGTTATGCACATATGCATACAAGTTCTTTGCTTGATCTTTTCTCACCCACCCACCCTCCCCCACCTTCCCTCTGAGGTTTGACAATGTGTTCCATGTTTCTATGTCTCTAGACCTATTTCATTCACCAATTTATTTTGTTGAGTGAGATCATGTGGTACTTGCTTTTCTCAGACTGGTTTATTTCACTTAGCATAATATTCTCCAGCTATTCATACAGTTGCAAATGGTAAGAGCTCCTTCTTTTTTATAGCTGCTTATATTCCATTGTGTAAATGTACCATAGTTTTTGTATACATATATCCTTGCCTGGTTCTGTTGATTTATTAACTTAAATTTCTTAACTTTCTGTTCAAGTTACCATGGATTATTTAATACCTCAATATTTGTCTAATATGATTCTGCCTTTAAAGTTACTGGATCATGTCAAAGAGAGCAACTCAGTGTACTATGGAAGCAATTACAAAAGGCAAAACCACTGGAAAAAGCTTTCAAATACAAAATGGTACATTGTTTAACACATTCTCATATTTAGCACAGTGCAGATAAATAAAAAAAGTTATTTTCTAGTATATATAGAGCATATACACTTCAGAAAAAGATTAAAACATATATTTGAGAATATAAGTAGAATCTGTTTATACACTTAGTGGCCAGATTATTATGATCTCTGAAAGCATAATAATCTGGCCACTCAGAGTATATGTAAATATATATATATATATATATATATATATATATATATATATATATATATATATATATATATATTAGAGGCCTGGTGCATGAATTTGTGCATGGGTGGGATCCGGCCAGCCTGGCCAAGGGGAGGAGGGGACATGGGTGGTTGGCCGGCCTGCCTGCTGGTTGAACTCCTGGTTGAAGGGACAATTTGCATATTAGCCTTTTATTAT